TTAAAGTTCTTTGATTAACTTTTTGCCAATCACTGGCTCTTCCAGGGCCACTATATTTGGCTTCATTTGACTAAATATTTCAGTGAGAGTATCCACTAAAAATAGCTCTTCACTCTGTACAACAATTTGAGTCTCTTCTCCATCTTGGACTGTCCTGACAGGTCCATAATTTTCTTCGTACATGAACATTTCCACCAAGTTTGCTTCTGCTACAAAGGGTCTATGATCTACCTGCACCACTTCTGCTTCACCCTTGTCGTTCTAGAAGACCAGGCACTGGTGGAGCGATGAAGGTATGCAATGACTCCCATGGATCCAATCCCTAACTAGTAGCACATTGTAACTAGTAGGACCATCTATTACAAAAAAGACTGTGATCCTAGTGGTTGTCCCTACAGTTATGTCCAGTGGCATAACTCATTTAGCCGAGATTGCTCCTCCATTGAAACTTGTGAGGATGACTTCTGTTGGAATCATATCACTTTCTATCTTTGCAAACTTCTTCATCATTCTGGACGGGATGGCGTTTATAGCTGCTCTGTTATCAATGAGTACTTTCGTCACAAGTATACCGTTGACCAAGGCTTTCACATACAATGGCCTCAAGTGCTTAGTCAATTTCATAGCTGGTCTCTTAAAAATAACATTTTCAGCAGCATCTATTTCCACTTCCTGTTTGTCCTCTGTTGAATTATCCTTTTGTGATAAGTCAACATATAATATTTCGCGCTGAATTGCTTCTTTTTGGGTTCCCTCCTTACTTCCCTCAAAAGCTTCTTCTTCATTTACCCATCCTGTGGGAGGAGGTAATATTTTTGGAGGTGACCCATACTTTTCAGAGCGAGGTACTCTCTTTTTTCTTTTGGGTATCTAGTACAACACATAATAATCGAAAGAACGCCTAGATGGTTCTCCCAACAAGTCTACTTCACGAACACCTTCTCGATATAGTTGCTTCAACAGGGTATTGCGCGATACTCCTCTCTTTCTTCTCTATGCTTCTAGATAAATTTCCTCTTCAATGTTAGTCATACCATCATCCTCTTCCTCATTGTGTGCCTCTCTATATGTTTAACCTTCTTCACATTCCAGCATGCATGCTTCCTCTTCGTTATTTTCCATTTCTTTCTCTTCTTTCTCTCTGTTTTTGAACTCATTGGCTAGTAAATAGTTATTAGTCATTACAAGAGGTAATGTATCGAACTGAATAATAAGGGGCTGATCTAGGTCTTCTTCATCCCTTTTGCCTCGCTCAAACTTTGATCTCCCAAAAGAACTTTTTGACAGTTCTTCCATTGATTCACTTGTACCAGTCTCTTCACTATCCTCGAGAACATTTTGATTGGCCACCTCGAGTATTTTAGGTGCTTTAGGACGTAGCAGTCCCTATTGTTGTCTCATCATTCGTCCATAATTCCGTTGAAAATGCATTTATTTCTAGTCATCTCATTGAAGGGTACCACCCTTCCTGCATTATATTGGAATGAATGTCATACATTTGGTTGTAAGTGGCATAATGCATAGTCACATTTTGGCCTAAATGTCCTCATATTATTCATTGGCCCCAACTGCTTCTCAAAAGGCGGTTCTCTATAGAATGATGTACCTCGGCCTCTAACAGGCTGGGCGTTTGGGACGAAATCAGGGCGATGGCGATGTTGCCCTACTCCTGGTTTCTCTGTTTTTACACTCACTTCTCCTTTACATCTTGCACACAAAACATCTGCATCCTTTCTAGGCTCCTTCCTTTTGATGCATTCAAAAACGCTGGGATATGGCCCAGGATCTTCTTCCCCATCATCAATAACCAATTTAAATCTTGGCAACTTGTTTTTGAAACCAGTCATCATCATGTTCACTCCAAGTGGCCGTGGGAAAGGGTTTTCATCCATTGACATCTTCTTCTTATCTTCGAACGTAATTTGCCCTGATTCGATAGCATCCTGTAACACATGATGAAAGACCAAACAATTGTTAGTAAAATGTGACTATACATTATGCCACTTACAATATTTTTTACCCTTAATTTGTTCAGAGTTTGGCAATTTATGCTTAACACTCAACTTTATATGCTTATCATTATACAGTTTATCAAATATAAGGTCAGCTTTGGTCACATCGAATGAGAACGTCCTAACCTTTTTGTTTTCATCTTTTATAGGCTCATCCTTGCCCGACGCTCTAGGCTTAGCCATTATAGGACAAGTATACGCATCTCCTTTGATTAATTCGGCCAAACATATTTCAGTTTGATCGTAATACTCGTCATTAATGGTATGAACATCAAAATTTGGGTCTCTATAATAAGTCCCCTTGTTAGAATTTTTCATTTGCTTTCTTCTCTTATCAATCGTTCATACCTAATCACGTTTGCACTCAATCAGAAAAGATCAGAAAATTCTCTGTCTTGGAATTTCTTTTTCAAATCAAAACTTAGACAATTTTGAGCGATTTTGACAAACTCTTTTTCGGGCAAATGCATAAAACATTTACTTCTTGCTATTTTGAACCTTTGAATGAAACCTTCTGCCCATTCGTTTGGCATTTGACATAGATTTGCCAAATCGGCCAAAGTAACTTCAGATTCAGTCTTATAAAACTGAGTATGGAACAATTGTTCTAATTGTTGCCATGTTTGACTGAGTTTGCTGGCAAATTGATGAACCAAGAGAAAGTTACTCATGTTAATGAATTAGGGAACAACCTCATTTTATGGTAGTCAACCACTTTACCACTTTGCAGTGTGAATCGCCCTATATGTTCTAGAGTAGACACTTCTCCTAAACCAGTGAATAATGAAAATTCTGGCACTTTGTAACCTCTAGGCCATGGATATGCTTGGTCTACCCAATCAGGATATAGCTCCGTGTAAGTCGACCTAATGACAGGGCGTACCCCAACAGCCATTTGATCCTGTACTATTTCCATAATTTGATTCATCAACATGACATTGAGGTCATATGGAATTCTTACAGGTTGGTTGACTAGTTGAGTTACTTGAGGCCTGTCATTTGGTTCTTGGTTGGCGAGAAAGTTATCATTGTTACCGTTAGCCTGAGTATTTATTCTATCATTAACACATGGGGCATTCTATCCATTATTCAAGACATCTTATATTTAGATTATTCCCCAGGTTTGACGTACCATTACCATTATTCAGGTTTGGCACTGCACCGCCCCCTTGGTTTGAAGTTGATGGACCAAAAGGTGGTTCTATCCCTTAATTTGGACTCAGGACTGGGAAATTATGTCCTACAATCGTCCTGGTTTGAAAGTGGTTTGCAGTAGGTACAACTAGCTGACACATTTGGCCTACTAACTTGTTCATTATTTCGTTTAATGTATTCAGTTGTTTGGCCATATTATCATAATGTGCATTCCCATTTTGGGTAAATCTTTCCATACTATGAACGTTTCGTAGATTTACCTGTTCAACGATATCATGTGTAAGTTCCCCAAGCAATGCACGCATGGTTCGAGGACTCAACTCTGCCAATAGTTCATAACGACTGTGACTGCTCTGACTCTATCCCTCTATTCGTGGAGAGCTTTGCTGCTCCTCATATCGCTCGATCACAAACTGGACTACTCCCTGACTTGTTGGTTCCTTATCAGACTTATGAGGCATATTGTTTCACTTTTTATATCCTCAAACACCAATGTCCCACCGGGCGTGCCAAATTGTTTCACGCGGGTTGTCGTAACAATTAAAAAAGATTCAGACAATTGTGTAAGGAACGGATTTCTTGAGACAAAGTCCCAAAAAGGGATGCTTTATTGGCGAAAATTTGCAATCAGAAATAAACAGAATGCCTCCAAGAGGCGCAAGCACGGGAGTACTAAAATGAATGTTTTAAAGTTAAATTAAGAAATTGAAATTATATATTCTCTATTGAGAGTGTTTGATTCAGGGTCCTTTTTCTCTCTATCTTCGTTTCCTTTTATATTCCCTTGATGATTTCTTTGTGAAGAAACTGTTTGATACTCTATAACTATCGATTTTCTTCATGATGACCGATTTATCGTGGAACTGCCGTCTCTAACTGTTGCTATTTCTCTTGTCGTTTAATTGCCTACAACCGTGATTCTTGGATCGTGGGGTGTGATAAGGTTACTCAATAACTGTTTCAATAACTGTTATTCTGGATAACCATAATATTTCGTGTTTGCTAAGATCCTGGGTGATTCGAAGGCTTGGGTGAGAAATAGCTCCTTCACTCTGGGCGATGTTAAGGCATTCCATTCGCTCAGATCCTGAGCATCTTGCAAGCTGGGCGATGATGGTACCTTGTTCGTGGGCCTCCATTGCATTCATTAATGGTCTTATTTGGACCTTTATCCTGGATTTCCTAATTGGGTTTCGTCCCTTTGACTATTCAATTTGGACTACATTTTTTGTATGTCAACATGGACAAATTGTCTCTAGAAGTAATAATCGAACTCGTTTTTTATGTAAATTATGCATTGTCTTCAATCTAGACTTTGATATATTTTCGTTTTAAGTTTATTTGTATTCAAAGAATTCGTTTTATTTAGTCATATTTGCATATTATAGCAAATTAGAAATATTTAATTTTGCTGCTCTGTTCAATTAAAAAAAAACGATCATTGGTGAAAATAACTTATTTCAAAAAACTAAAATCTAAAGGCCGGCCCTTTTGCAATCACGGTATTCTTCAGAATTCAATGTAAAGCTTCATGAAATTCTTCTCTAGTTGTCATGATGCCTGGTACCAAACATGTATCAATAACTAGGCTACTTGGAAAATAAGCTTATAATTGAAAAGCTAAATGAAAGATTTTACAAGAGCAAATATGGTACTGAATATATTTTATCAAACGTGTGTATATCGAAAATTTTGATCGTTCAGACAAGAGATCGAAACACAAATATACGAGAATTCAAAAGAACGATATTCCCATATGCGCGCAAAAGTACATTTTCATCGATCAACATCAAGTCGAGCATTTTTACACAGAATGGCGAAAAAATTTGGATCTTACCAACCAATCAGAGCTCGAATAAGGCCAACTATATCACCATTTAACAATGCCTTCAGAAATTTCAGCTTCTCAGGTGTATATGGTGGGTATCTTGCAGGAACATCCCCAGCAAAACTACGCTGTAACACTGCCTTCTTATGGCTGAAAGCATCGAATGAGAATTTCCCGTGGTAGGCTCCCATTCCACTTTCCCCGACTCCTCCAAACGGCAGCGAATGCTCGGCAAGCTGCAACAAGAAGTTCCCTAATATAGTTAGCTGGGTTTCATTAGTTAACTCAACATATTTTTCATACTGACAGTTTCAATTTGCAAAATGCATTACAGTCAGAGATGTTCCTACGCGGAAATAAAAAAAGGGATGGGACTTTTTTCCAAGAAAGGGTGGTAACACTACTACTGTTCTCTTTATTGTTTTCAAGCCGTTTTCTATTTTCGATGTTTCAAAACAGTGAAAACGCATTTTTGAAAACAAATTTTTCGTTTTTTATGTATTCAGTTATAATCAATTCAAAATTTTCAAAACACGTTTTGGATATTTTCAGTTAACGTCACCCCAACCACCACTACGTGCACCACACCACCACCACACAACCGCCAGATCCGCCACCACAGCCAAAGCCACAACCTGAACCTGAACCTGCACACCACGCACCCAAAACCACCACACACCACCGCCACATAAAAAAAAGGGGTGAGACGAAGCCGTCGGTGATCTCAGCCACAACCAACCACCATCGCACCAATTGCAGCCACCGTCGCTGCTCGTCGACAGAGATGAGTGGAAGAAGAGAGAGAGACGACAAAGAGACGAGAGAGAGGGAAAGAAAGAGAATGGGTTTTCCAATTTTTTATTTTTGAAAATAATTTTTCAAATGCCAAAAAGAATACATTTTCAACAATCTTAAAATGGACACTCAAAACACAAAATCCAAAATGAATTCAAAACTCAAAACACAAAACTGAAACACAAAGAGAACAGCCCCTAAATTTTTGGACTAAAAACTATTTTTACTTATATTCTGATATAGTCACAATTCATATAAGCACGAAGACGAGTTGGCATGACTTATAAAGCAAAGCTCTTGATATGTTATATAGCTACGGGAAGAAATTTTTACATGTAGAATGGTGTCGTTGATGACCAAACCCCCTGCTGAGACGTTTGTAATGAACTGCTCCTTAAGCCTTTTGTCGTTCGTAAATAAATATGCAGCGAGTGGCTTCTCTCTAGCATTAATCAGATCAATACTGTCTTCAACTTTGTAGACCTTCAGGGAAAAGGAAAGCAAAAACAGTACACAATTGTAATTATAAAGCAAAAGTCGAAAGGAGAAGTCACCAAATAATCAACTGAGTTTTACCGTCAAGATAGGAAGTAAAGGACCAAATATCTCCTCATTCATGACCAGAGAATCTCCTGGGACTTCCAACATAACAGTGGGAGCAATTTTTCTGCCCGGATTGATAAAAAATATAATGATAGTATAGAATTAATTACAACTCCTCTTAAATTAAGGAATTTTTGAAACATGTATAAACTCACAGATTGGTTTTATCCCGTTGGCCTCCGTGAACTATCTTCCCAGATACCTTCTCGTCGTCCAATAAATTTGTTAAGCGCGTAAAGTGATTGGAATTCACTATGCGTGACAGGTCTTCTGATCTTAGAGGATCCTTTCCATAGAATGCCTCCAGTTCAGATTTCAGAGCATCTACCTGATTTGAGAATTTGCATGAGAAAACAAAAACAAGAATAATGTACATTAAATGGCTCTTCAATCAGACAAGAAAACTCACCAACTGAGAAGCATTATCTTTTGTGGTTATCAAATAATCGGGAGAAACACAAGCTTGTCCATTATTGCAGCCCCACTTGCCTCCAATAATCCGTCTTGCTGCAACCTTTCAAATGCAGAATAAGTTTTGATTACACTGTCAGCATGGTTGGTAAAGCTCAGAAAAAGGTAACTTCTGATAAACCTCAAACATGTAAATCTTAAGAATGCTCTTAAACAAAACATGCTAGATGTGGCTTCATATGAATGTTGAATATGCACGATTATGATTAGAAGATAAAAGGAAGTCTTTACTTTTAAGTTGATGTTTTTGTCAACAACTACAGGTGATTTGCCACCAAGCTCCAAAACTACTGGTGTAAGATGCTTTGCAGCGGCAGTCAACACAATGCGTCCTGCCTTGCCATTTCCTACAAGATTGCTTGTTCGAGAATCAAAATCAGAAATCTACGTGCGGGTAAAGAACAAAGTTCAAAAACATTTATTTTCTCCTAACAAGTAAAATTTCATTATTAAAAGTAGGGGCTGCACTATGATTAGCTCATGAAAACATCTTCACATCTAACTAAAAAAAGGATACTAGAGTTGAAAAAATATATACTATAAACATCAACAGGGGCTGACTTTGAATCGCAGTTTTCCAGAAAATTCCCACACCCATAGAAGAAGTTAATTGAAAGTTATTGCTGAACATGCTTTTTAAAGTAAATTTTTGCCTAAATTATAAAATTCAGCATAAAGCAAATGAATTAGTCTAAATTCTGCCCGCTGCTGCCGAGCTTCTTTCGCTATTGTTAATTCTTTTATGGAAAGGAGAAAGAGTATTCCGACTCCAAGATACTACTGTAAAGAGGACTCTACCGCATGCATCTAGCATTGATGTAAAATGGGGTGAAAAAACAAGGACAGGTCATGGCATTGATTAAAAGGAAATTGAAAAGTCACAAGTGTGCTCTCAAGCATAGGAAGTCATTTTCATCAAGATTTATTCCAGCCTATTTCACAAAGTATATACTTTATCAAGCATCAAATTAAGTGATAATAATTGACAGCTTAGCATATCCACCCCTGTTGCTCTAAAATCTCTCCATTGAACCTAAATCCCACTTATCAGTCAAATTGGCCACGTCCACACAAGCGTGTGCATGGAAGAGCCATTGGAGGCTACAACAACCTAATCTACAGTCTCATACGTGAATAGGCAGAATTTCATTAATTCATCACATAAGACCAAGGTCATTATAAGTTTAAAAAGTTTTTTCCCTCCTCGTCAAAGATATTTTCAGCAAAACTAAGCCGTTGTTTGATGGCCATTATTTTGAGAAAATGGAGTTTCGAATTTTTTTTTTTTTTTTTAGAATGTGTGGTTAAAAGGCAGGAAAAAGTTTTGAGTTTACGTGCAAAATATTTAATTGTGTAAACGTGTGGTTGAAAATGAGTACGAGAATTAAAGAGTTTTGAAATAATGGTCATCAAGCAGAGGCTAAATGTCTTATGGGAGCAATACTATTCAAATGTCACATGTATTATTTGACCACAATCTTTCCTCCAAAGGTTGATAATTTTTTTACACTTGTACTAGGAATAACTGGATGTAAAATAGATGGAACTATGATATTTCGAGTGCTTCAATTTGGTGATAATTCGTCTACGACATTCATATCTAGATGACAGTTTTTCAATCTTGTCCATGAAAACATGAGATCTTTTGTGCTGCGTATTCCAACTGAAATTAAACATTGAAAAAACCCTCGGCGTTTGTTTGGATGTAAAAAATAGGAATGATAAGGATATTATCAAGATATTACGTTGATTCGTGAAGACCAAAGCGAATGGTGAAATTCATGAGTACCTGTATAAAATATTTTATCCCACTTTTGCTCCAGCAATGCAGTTGTTTCAGGTACGGCACCCTCAACAACTTTTACTGCAGAGGTATCCATATACTCCCCTAAAAGTTTTGAAAGCACCGCGGATGTGACGGGGGCAATTTCCGAAGGTTTCAAAACTACAGCATTACCAGCTGCAATAGCTCCAATGACTGGATCAAGAGATAATACTGGACAAAACAAAAAATAATCGCAATTAAAAAGTTTTCATCAGTAACATGGTTATAATATTAAGCAAGATGATGAGGCACGAATTCATTATGCATCAATAAATCAATAAAGGTATTGCAAAAGGAGAATGTCTAATAGTTGCATCGATGAAAAATTTCTGTACGGATATCATTCATCAATTTCTGAATTATAGCTGAAACGCGTTTGATGTGAAGCAGGAAATAAAACAATGAAAGAAGCTAAAAACTAGGAATCAACTTACAGAAAGGAAAGTTCCAAGCCGATATGACCAATGTAACACCCAATGGTTCTGAAACTATTTCCCCTGATGAGGGGAAAGTGGTTAACGAGGTTTTCACCTGCCATTACAAGTAATTAGCATCATACAACCCTTACGTGAAAACAGAATAAAATTCAAAAGTACCTTTTCTGGTTTCATCCATCTTTTTAGTTGCTTCAATGCAAGCTGGCATGATGATTTCATTGAAGCAATCTGTATTCATAAATGATACTAATTAAAAAATGCTTAAAAAACTATTAATAATCAAGGAAACTAGATATTGGAGCTGGAAGCATATCATATGCAAACTTCCAACAAATAAAGTTCCACGAGAAGATAACTTGGGCCAACTTTCAGTAGACTACGAGCCAGTTATCCTAATCTAAAACAGTTTGTTTCCGAACATGTGGATAACTTTCTCTTTTCTTGCTTGTAAGGAAAAAAAAAGTGTCATTCTAAAGTAGCAAAAAATTATTAGTTCTAAATCAACCCACTACTTTCGCGCGAGTATCAGTCAACACAAAGCAGATTGTCAACAGAAAAAAAAAAATCTGAAACGACGCGAACGTGTGTAATGAAAATATAAGTTCCTAACCTATGTCATGCCTAGCTGGTGACTATTCTTAATTCATAATGATATACTCCTAACCTCTCGGAACCGAATTGATCCATCACGACCAAAAATTAAACCCAAAGATACTACACATTAATCTGGTAAACAAACAATAATCCAATCAAATCTATTTAACAAACAAAAATATCCAGACAGACCAATAACATTAGCCACTTATTCGACATTTGGTAAACCTCTGCAGGTGGGTATTAAATGCTTTAAGCTGCTAACTGGAAAGAGTAATTTGAACATGAAACATAACAAATTTTCCTGTACTCGGGATTTTATCTAATTAATCTGTCATTAAAAGACGTAATACTGTAAATGTGCATCAAATGATGCAGTACAAGGCAAACAACAAATAACTCAATATCTGAGGTAAACATTATGGACCCGTTTGTTTCCCATTATTTTAACAGAAGAATGGATTTTTTTGATCCTTTTTTTCAAACAAATAGGTTCCACTGTGAGACAAACAGATCAACAAAACAGCTGCTTTCCATTGCAACGGTACAAATTTTCATTAAAATTGGAAACAAACTGGGGCTATATAAAGTCAATTTTGTAGGTCAACTATCAATCTCGCAACCAACTGGACTAAGTTAATTTCAGTAGTTTCACCAATCACCCCAATCAAGAAACATGTGTATTTAGTAAAACCATACATACAAAATGTTGTTGCAGATTCGAAAGCCACATCGAAAGACCGGGGCTCCCCTGACTTGGCCAAAAGAGTTCGTCTGTCAAAGGGTGTAGATAGGTCTACTCAGCACCTTGGCCCGGTACCCATCGATAGAGGTCTAAATCGTACTATGGAAGACATTACGTGAAAACATCATCATGACATGACATGACATGACATAACAGATGAAGTGCTCCCTCGTGACGCCCACCCCGACCAACTAATCAGGAGGATGACATGATGGCCTAGGACACAGGCTTAAGCACCATCATGACTCCATAGTCAAACTTAACGACCAATCAAATTTTGTCAAATGGGCAGCAGCACACGGTCCTAGGTCGGAAAATTGTAGCGTGACAAGAGTGAACAACAAGTTTGAGCCTATTAGCCTATATAAAGAGTTTATATAAAGGGATGAAGGGTGAAAGAAAGGTGTCCGACATAATCATTTAGTTCAAGTCCGTAAAACTTGATCAAAGAGTGACACGTTATTTTTTTAACATCAACACAAAATTGAGTGAATTGTTTCAATAATCACCCAACTTATATCATGGTCGCAGATTGCTCACTAAACTTTAAAGTGCTTCACAGTAGTCACTGAACTTTGTCTGTTTGCACTCCGTCCATCACCCTCAAAAATCCGTTACATTATTCGTTGACGTGGCTAACGGAAATCTAATGGGGCAAGTTACTGTTCCCTTCATCCTAATGTTCGCACAAAAATTCCACGTGGCAAGTTACCAATGTTAAAAAAATTGCAACTCACCAAAATCATCATATGTGAAACATGACTTCCACAACCCCATCAACTTCTTTAAAACGCAATAAAGCGTCCACAATTATTCTTTTAGAAATATCACCATTGGGGATGCTTTATTTCTAAAGTATAGATATGTGGTGATATTTCTAAAAGAATCACTGGGACGCTTTATAGGGTTTTAAAGAAGTTGATAGGACCATGGAAGTCACGTTTCATATATGATGATTTTGGCAAGTTATGTTTTGTTGAGTTGCAATTTTTTTAACATTTGTAACTTTCTACGTGGAATTTTTGTATGAACATTAGGAATGAAGGGAACAAGATATAGCGGATGATGAATGGAGTGCAACATTTCAAAGCTGAGTGACCATTGAGAAGTATTTTGAAGTTCGATGAGCGAACTGTGACAGCATTTTGAAGTTCGATGAGTGAACCGTGACCAAGTGTAAGTTGGATGAGTAATGAAACAATGGTTTCGCTGAGTTGTCATTTTTTTAATGGCGGTAACTTGTCACGTCAGATTTCCGTTAGCGACGCCAGCGAATAATGTAACGGATTTTTGAGGGCGATGGACAGAGTGTAAACGGACAAAGTTCAATAAGCATTGTGAAGCACTTTAAAGTTTAGTGAGTAGTCTGTCGCCATGGTATAAGTGGGGTGATTATTGAAACAATTCACTCACACAAAATTACTACCCAAAAATCAATTTCAACAAAAACGGGCATTTATTACAGAATTAGGATTTAAAAAAATGAAATAAAACATCCTAAATTTCTTTTCCACAAATACAGAGCATTTATTTAATACAGGCTCAAAAAAGACAAAAAAGATAGTCAAAGGACTCAAAATGATCGAACTAACCTCGTATACGAATGATTCGTGATCGGGTTTACTAAGGTCACAACGGAGAGCTTCAGCTATCTCTTTCTCATGGTGATCGGCTATTTTCAACAGGGCCCTCAACTGGGATACTCTCCACTCGTAACTCTTCGTTTTCCCACTCACATAGGTCCCCCGAAGCTCCTTCATCATCCCGTCCACATCCAACGCCATTCTTTGTGTATCTATTCGTATGTCTATATGCGTTGAGTATATATTATATAGATATGACTTTAGACTTTTGGAAGTGCAGATGGGTATGGTTGTGGATTGCGTGTGTCTGTACGTATGGATTGTCGATGCGTTGGGCTACTTGTATTGGAAACGGAGATGGCAGACTACGAGAAGATCATGCAAAGAATTAAACTACAATGCACAGAATTACAGATAGACTCCGTGTAGATGCCGGAGCTACAGAGACATAGTAATATTCAATTGGTGGGCATTGCTATTTGTACCTCCCTTGCGATAGGGGGCTCACTGTCAATTAAAAAATTGTGGACTTGTGAGGGAACTGTACATCGAACGAAGCAAAACTGTCAATTTTAAAGTATAACAAATGGGTTAATCCATTTGTACGTAGTGGATTATTCTCTCTCACATAATGCGTGAGACCCGCGCGTATTTAAAAATTCCGATTATATGGTTCTCATCCCCATTGTGAGTAGTAGGTAAAATATTCGGTAAAAAAATTCGGTACATGTAGTATATATAATCCATAAAAAATTAGGTAACTGATTCCCACGTCATTCCATTTGAAAACAATGTATTTTCTATTTTGAATTAAATTATACCATTAAAGTTTTTGGGATTGAATGGTTGTTTTAAATTTCGTCAACATCTTCTATAAAAAAAAAATCGTCAACATAAATTTTAATTTATTTATTTATTTGAAAATTTTAATTATTGTGGCTATTTTTATAACAGAAAGGTAAGAAAGCCATTGTTAGTTGAGAATTTCTCTTAAAAGAGGCAAAATTGTCTGAAAACTTGTAGCCGGAAAAGGGGATTAATCAGAATCAAGAAAAAAAAACAAAATAGTGATTCAGGAATCTGAGGACAAGAGAGGATATGACTTTTAATATGCTAGTGGGAACCTCCTTTCATTTCATCGAGATGATCCTTCAAAATAGACAAAATCTCATTTCAAGAGTTTCTTTTTGCCCTTCTCTATTTCGCGATTTTTTATTTGATGATTATCGCGCATCATTCTCGAACCTATCTTTAAAGCCTGTCTGGAGCTAATTAAAAGTAAATTAATAGTCGTTACACAAGGAATGTGGGCACCCTATGTGAGATAATTTGTCAACATAGTTGGCTGCAACGGTCACAAAAATGAAACGACTCAACTGGTTATGCAACCTAGTGTCAGAAAAGAGAACTCAGTGGACCAAAATGCATACAATGAGAAGATAAGGATTGAAGAGACAAGTGACCAAGAAAAGAAGAAAAATGTAAAAGGAAGAAACGCGACATTACCTTACCAGAATTGAATGAAGAATGATACGACGGTACAACTCTCCAACGGATCCTCACCCAGCATTTCTAACAATCCTAGATTCCAGGGATCCTATCCATTGGGTGTTTCTCTCTCAGCTGTTGATTAGTTTTTATGTAATTTATGTTTTCTGATCAATAAAATATACAACTCTCCAACGGATCCTCACCCAGCATTTCTAACAATCCTTGATTCCAGGGATCCTATCCATTGGGTGTTTCTCTCTCAGCTATAGATTAGTTTTTATGTAATGTATGTTTTCTGATCAATAAAATAAGTCTGAATTCATCATCTTCATTATCAGTTCTCTGTTTTTTATCTTGGTATCAGAGCCAAATCTATGGCTAATACACTACCTCCTGTTTCGGACTCAAATTCTACAAACCCAGATACCTCAAATCTCAGTCCAGCAACCCAAATTCCAGCTATGGGGAGTAATTTTACCCCTTTCGGAATGAACCTAACTCATGCAGCCTCTGTTAAACTTGACAGAGATAATTTCTTGCTGTGGAAAAATGTTATAATGCCTATTGTGAGAGGCCATGGTCTTGAGGGATATTTACTAGGCACCAATGTGTGTCCCCCTGAGACTGTAGATGTTCAAATTACAACTGAGGCAGGAATCATGGTTAGGACATCCCCTAATTCCGAATATTCTAGGTGGATGTCTATTGATCAGCTGCTAATGGGATGGTTATATTCGTCAATGACGTCTGATATTGTAATGCGTGTAATGGGCAGCAATAGCTCAAGTGAATTGTGGAAAGCCATAAATGAGAATTATGGAATACTAAATAGATCTAGAGTGACCTTTCTCACATCTGAATTGCAAAAAATGAGGAAAGAATCCATGTCAATGGATCACTATCTCAGCACGTTAAAACAGCTTGCTGATAATCTTGAAATAGCGGGAAAGAAAATAGAACATACTGACTTGGTAACTCAAGTCATGGCTGGGCTTGATGAAGAATACACTCCAATCGTGGTACAAGTTAACAGCAAAGATCATGTCTCTTGGCATGAACTATCTTCTATACTTATGACCTTTGAGAGCAGATTGGAATATCTCAGTCAAGTTAGAACCAATTTTGGATCAATCAACATCACCCAGAGAAACTTTCAGAGTTCGAATTCCTATGGAGAAAGAGGAAACAGAGGTGGTAGAGACTTAAATTTCAGGGGAAGAACAAGAGGCAAAGGTAGGTTTGGGATAACAAATGAGGCAAGAAACCCCTGTCAGATTTGCGGGCTAAAAAATCACACTGCTGCCTGGTGTTTCAATAGATTTGATGAGAAGTTTATGGGAAAAAGGCCCAGTGATCAGATCTCCAGCTCACGCCCATCTGCCTACATTACAAATCCAATTGCAATAGAAGATAAAGCCTGGTATGTTGACTCTGGGGCAAGCCATCATATAACTACTAATAAGGACAATATCACTGAAGCAAAGGAATATGAAGGTAAGGAAACAATGGCTGTGGGTAATGGCACTTGACTACAAATCTCACATATTGGTTCAAAAGTTTTTGATATTGAAACTGGAAAAAAACTTGCCTTAAAGAAACGACTGCATGTGAATAAAATTAGAAAAAATCTCATAAGTGTTTCTAAACTCACATCTGACAATCATGTCTCAGTTGAATTCTATCCTAATAATTGTGTTGTGAAGGATCTATCAACAAGGAGGGCTCTAGTGCAAGGGAAGCTTAGAGAGGGATTATATCAGCTTGATCTACCCTGCCATGACACAAGAAACCAGAAAACAAGTCCTATCAGCCATCATCTGACCAGATCTCAATTCATCCTTCACACCAGCACACCTGAATCTGCAAACTCCACTAGTAATTGTACTCGTGATTCTCATATTGAAGTTTGGCACAGAAGGCTAAGACATCCTCCTATCTCTGTGTTACTTCATTTCCTGAAAACTTGTAATAAACTCAATATTATCGGTAATAAAAGAATCCATTTCTGTAAAGCTTGTTAGATTGGCAAGTCACATGCTCTGCCATTCAAACTCTGCTTTTCTCATGCTAAAATGCCACTTGACCTGATTCACACTGATGTTTGGGGACCAGCTCCTATTATGTCTACCTCAGTATTTAAGTATTATGTCCTCTTTGTTGATGATTGCACTAGGTATAACTGGATTTATCCTCTAAAACACAAGTCTGAGGTTGTTCATCGTTTTACACAATTCAAAAATTTAGTTGAAAACCAGTTTGAAAGAAAAATTAAAACAATTCAATCAGACATGGGGGGAGAATATAAAAAGTTAGATAGAATTGCCTTCGAATCAGGAATTGAACTAAGGTATTCTTGCCCATTTACATCTGCACAGAATGGAAGGGTAAAGAGGAAACACAGACATGTTACTGAGACCGGATTAACCCTTCTATCCCAAGCTCATATGCCTCTCTATTATTGGTGGGAAGCCTTCTTAACTGCAACATATCTCATAAATAGAATGCCTAGCCTGATTCTACAACACAAATCACCGTTTGAACTCTTATTTAAACATAACACGGACTACCAGTTACTTAAGGTATTTGGATGCTCTTGTTACCCTTGCCTTAGACCATATCAAAAGCATAAGTTTGATTTTCATTCCTAGAAATGTGTTTATCTAGGTCCTAGCTTATCTCACAAAGGTTTCAAATGCTTAAGTCCTAGTGGTAGAATTTACATCTCCAGACATATCATCTTTGATAAGAGTTCATTTCCATTTCAAACAGGATTTCTAAATAAAAAATCCTCAGACAAATTCCTACCTATCACCACTCATCATTTACCTTATGAAATCAATTCATATAAACTACCCAGAACAACCACAGAATCAGCTGATATAGTACCTCTCACAGAAGAACCTGCACAGGATCCTCTTGTTAAAGATGAGGGTGAAAGGATAATGGAAAATGGTGAACAATTTGATATGCAACAGATACAAGAGACTGGAAGAAATGGTACACAGTCTAATACTCAGCCTGAGGTTTCAGCATCTGAAAGAGAGATGGAAGAGAGTCTTCTACATCAGAAAAACAGGCAACAGAACATCATATGCTAACCAGGTCTAAGGCAGGAATTTTTAAACCAAAAGTTTTTGCTGATATTGCTATAAGTTCAATTGATGGGATCGAACCAGTGAATATTCATGAAGCTTTGGGGAGTGAAAAATGGTGTCACGCTATGAAAGAAGAGTATGAAGCACTGATAAAAAATAACTGGGTGTTGGTTCCTGCAGAGTTTGATATGAAGGTGATAGGTTGCAAATGGGTTTTCAAACTAAAACATGATATTAATGGAGAAATTCAGAGATATATAGCAAGGTTAGTGGCAAAGGGCTTCTTGCAGACATCAGGTATCGACTACTATGAAACATTCAGCCCTGTAGCTACCTACCCTGAAGATTATCCTTACACTTGCTATCTCGAAAGGCTAGGAGATTAGGCAAATAGATATCAATAATGCCTTTCTGAATGGCAAGTTAGAGGAAACAGTTTTCATGAACAACCACAAGGCTTTATCGATCAAAGTAAACCTTCGTTTGTTTGCAAACTCAGCAAAGCTATCTATGGACTTAAACAAGCTCCCGGAGCCTGGCATGACACTCTGAAAGAAACCTTGCTAAATTGGGAATTATTGCAATCAAAGGCAGACAACTCTATATTTTATCGGG